ATAATAATAATAATAATAATAATAATAATAATAATTCGTTTATTCATAAACAAACGGGGCGTTACAGCTGCTGCTGCTGTGACTGCTGTGGTGGTTGCTGGGGTCGCTTTGGACAGCGACTAATTAAATGTCCGGGCTTATGACAAAAGTAGCAAATGTCCTGGCCGAAATGACACTCTCCACGATGAGGTCGTCCACAAGTAGTGTGGTGGAAACTGCCGTGGCCTGGCTGCACCTGGTTGTCTCGAACGGATCCTCCTGTGAGTCTGGAAACCTTTCCCTTTCCTTTTCTTGTCCTTCGGTTGTTGGGCAGCAGCTGGTTGGACTGGTGGTGCTGAGGATGATGGGCAGGGGCAGATGGCTGCAGACGATCGTGGTTGGTCTCCCTCCGGATGCTGGCGACAACTTCCTGGGCTATGGTGACATATGGGCATAGGTCTGGACGCCGTGACCTGCAATGTTATGATGGACTGCTGGCAAAAGCCCGCCAGTGAAACATGTCGATCTCTTTGCTTCCATGCTCACCAGGTCGGGAACAAAGGCTCCAAGTCGAGTGAATTCTCGCTCGTACTCATCCACTGTACGAGTACCTTGTTTGAGCGCCAGAAGTTGACGCTCCATGTCAGCTCGATAGTACGCGGGATAATATTTCTCGCGTATTAACTCCTTGAACTTGTCCCATGTACAACCTTCCTTTTCACCGGGGCGCATTCCCTAGTATGCGTTCCACCAAAGACGTGCATCCCCCGTCAACTGGATCTGTGCGCATAGAACACGATAGCAGTCGGGGCAGTCCATGACCTCTAAAATCATTTCAAGGCCCTGGACCCACTCGTCACTAATTCGAGGATCTCCATGGCCGGAGAATTTTTCTGGATGGTAGTCGCGAAACTGAGCGACTACGGTGGCATGGGGAACCTCCTGATGATCTGGATCCTTACGTGGCGGCATCTGAATATTGGAAACGTTCGAAATTATCAGACACAGGAAAAATACTTTAACTAATTAATAACGCGCACAAATCTCTTGACGAGTTGCTTAACATGACCTGGAAATATTTACATTGAATCATGGACATACTGGACTATAAATCCTGAACATAACTCGAGCATCCTAACTAACTCATATATGTGGATTCTACTAAGCATAGACATAGTCATTGGTTTATATTTAAAACATGAATCAGCACTTACCTGTAGTTGGCGGGGTGTGAGCGTGACTTGTTCAGGTTTTATAAAATTTTCTGACTTGTAAAAAT